TTGTAAAATAAGAACAAAACATGTATAAACAATAGCCAATAAAATTGTAATACCAACACGAGACCATAGAATACCAAGTACAACAATTGTTTCAAGTAAACCAATCCAAAGAAAGTGACCATCAATAGTTAAACGTTCAATTGTTTGAACATCATTCGTTAACATATTCACAATTTTTCCACTTGAGTGTTTTCCTAATGATCCTATTGATAATCTCATAATCTATATTAATATCAATATGAATAGATTCTTTTCTTTATTTATGGAATTTATATTTCTAACCTTACGAAATATAAGTCCACTATATGCGCATCGAAGATGCATACCACCAAGAAAAGATCTAATAAATGACATATGACGAGTTAAAAACATAATCCAAGGACAAGCACTTGTTAATATAGCTAAAATTATAGCTTCAGTGAAGGATATATTTGAACATGGTGCAAAATATCGAACAAAACGTGCTAATAAAAATGGTTGAATAAAACGAGTTATTGTCTATAAATAAAACCTAAAACTTAGAATTTTTTTCTGATAAAAAAAGAAAATGTATACATACGTGCATTAATAGAAAGAAGCCGATAATAAAATACCGATTTCCATAGACTTTCCAAGTTGCACGAAATAATGATGGTTTATATTTTTTCTTGCCGGATTTATTAGCGAGTGCCATTTCATTTTTCCATGCTCTATAAGATAAATTAGATTAAAATATTTTAAATAAAAGTCTTTTGGCAAGCATGTATAAATCATGCAATTCATGATTTTTTTCTCTGTTCTGTCGTATCTTCTTTCCTATAGCTATCTTGAAGAATGAGTCATTTGCTTCATTATACAACCAATTAATATTACTTACTGTTCAAGACGATCAATCCAAAGTTGACTTTGATCATCAGGTAAAATATCAAATATATCATCAATTTCAAGTGGTCGTTTACGTCCTAATTGAAGTAGACTTGTTACCCAACTGTAAAAATATAATTAGAAATGTTATTTAAACAAAAATCAAATATTTTTTTTGTATTCTTACGAATGAAAAATTTTTTGAAATTGATTCGATTTTAGATAAGGATGCTGACTTTTTGACATGTCTATACAAAAAAGAAAGAACAACCTTTCGAAATATATTTACGCACACGCTTCTTTTTCTATTATTTTTTTCTTAATGGATAAAACCACATATGTAATACGCTTTTTCCTTGTTCTTCATTTTTCTCGCATATGGCTATATTGTTGTGTTGTCTTTCTTGCTTCTTTTTCTCGTTTACCCTCGTACTCTCTCATTGTCAGTCCTTTTTTCTCACCAGCGAATAACAATAGCACGAGTCTTCTTCCTGTTCGTTCATACGATAAAAAGTACATGTAAATATTACATGATATTATAGGTTATTTAAGCGTATAAAGGAGTATCGAGTGCATACCAAATTAAAAAACCAAGCGAACGAAAATTAAAAGATTAGAGTATATTTATCTATCAGCACACTCACCAAAAAAAGTGCAGAACGGAGGAATATGCTGAAAATATAAAATAACTGTATATCGCATTAAATCAAGTAAAAACGTATGCATATAAAATACTCAAAGATTTATTGATTTAACGAGTAAATGATTGGTTTCATCATTGTTTCTGATGCAATCAATTGTCATTGATATGTCATCTATCAATGCATTTTTATCTTTCTAGTAAAGACTAAAGAACTTTTTTTTTAATATATTTTTTTCAAATAAAAAGGCGCATCACTGATAGATGAGATATTATTTATTGTGGCTATATGAAAATAAATTTCAAATATTACATTACGCTCGATTAAAATATCAAAACATAAACATGTAAATTTCATATTCTAGTGGCACTAAGAATGACAGCGTGAGTACGAGAAGATAAAAACATTCTTTGCATTTATGAAACAATATTTCAAGTTCTACCGTTGAATAATAGGGTCGAATAGAATATTTCTGAATGCTTCCGAAATAGCTTTTTTAATCACTGTTGAAAGACAGATTAGTTTGTCGAGTATAGTGTGACTTTCAATTGTATTTCTATAAAAAAAACGTTTTGTCACCTCTTAATTCCGGCTTCATTGGTTTCTACTATGAAAATGCGAAACATCAAATTGACGAATTTTTTATTTAAATAGTATGTGTTAAGAGTTCGTTGTCATCATATTCACATATGCTTCCTTTACGATGAATTTGTTTCATTCTTCAATATTGATATGTAATCTAATATATATAACAGTTACTATATTATTAATACTAACTATAGATAATAATATAGAATATTAATCATGATCAGCGGGGTGTGTGAACAGACGAGAATGAAGGGATGAAAATCTCCTTATTCCAATAATCAAACGTTTTCAATGTATGTTTTGTCTGCGTTCTACACTTTCTTGTGCAAGGTTTTGTTGCAAACACCCTTTTACACTCTCAATATTTAGTTCTTTGCAAGTCGCCTGGTGATTACTCTATAGCATAAAGTAATAACAGGAAGACAAGTATGACATGAGGAAACTGTATGCAGATGTTGTAAGTGATCTATACATAATTGACTAGACTATTGTTTGGCACAACTATAAAACCATCGGTACTCTTCAATTAAAATCCTTTCTTTTCTTATGACTTCATACAATTGCATGATTTTTGCCAATATATTTTTTTCTCTAGAGAATAGATTTATATGTTTTGAAATATTGTTGATGAGTAAATAGAGTCTAAACGGCATTGAAAGGAAATAAAGAATTGCTAGATATATCATGCAAGTATTTAATATCGTGTTTCTTGTGACAACGTCAAGAAGTTTGAGAATAGCTACAAAATAACAATTCATGATTAATTAATGTGAATGATTTATTAAAATATCTGTCGTCGATCTAGATTACACGGCTTTTTTTATTTATTTACTCTCTATTCTTACTCATGATTAACAAAGAAATGAAAACAAGATATTAACTATAATTTGAATCTTCATATTAATAAATAATTTAATCGATTTGTATGAACTCAATCAGTCATATCTGTTCAAGTATTCAATCAATATTTTATTTAGCTAGCAAAAGAAATTTGTTGGAAAAATTCATTGTAATGTTTGATTTTTGTTTGATCGAATAAGTAAAATGTGCTGCATTTAGAACACAAACTAAACTTTTAGACTATCACAGACGACAATATTTAATATCAGTAGCTGTAATATTCAATAAAAAGGAAGAGCGTCTCTGATCAACATTTCTGTCCTCACTTGCTAACGCTTCTTCGAGCTTCCTGTTGTTTTTTGATTGACAGGGAAATTTTTTTTTAATTTTGAAGTTCAGGCAAGGTTGTTATCTGACTGTCGAGACAAGTAGCACGTTATGAAAGCTTGGAGTAAATATAAAACAGTAGATGACAGAAGATAATCATGTTTACCTATAAAGGGGCTATGCCTAAATCGATAGAATTAGGCAGAAGTTTCCAGAAAAGAAAAGACTAAATTTACCAGAAAAACTACATAGTCCTAATACTATCGTTGCGTACAGTTATGAATAATTGATTAAAATATGTATGCATATATATTACGAAATATTTCAGGAGAAAATTATTATTAAACATATTTGATAGAATAGTTTTTGTCATGTGACCCTTGAGATTACTTGAGACTTAGAGTTTTCTTGTTCGAAACTATTTTCCTAAAAACATACATCGTCTAATTTTCTGATGCTTACTAATATGACTTGCGGTCTGTCTGTGTATTAACTACAAAACTTCTATCCAGATGACTTGGAGTACCTGTGAATACTGCGGACACCTACGGACATAGCCAGGACTGCAAAAAAAAGATAAAGTTCAAAATGAGTATCATATGAGCGCCCATTCTAGGCTGTGCTTTTTATTTTCATCTAGCACATAGACTTTTGTTTTATCAATACAGCTGATCAAACTTTTGTTGACATCACAACACAATCATGAAGTGTCGATAGTCACTTTCATTATAGTTGCTTATCGTGCACTGGTTCCTGTGATCTGTTCTTACAAACGACATTTTATTCGAACTCTTGACAATCAGAAGCATACTGAAATTCTATGTAGGCATCGTTCTCATGCCAGCCATCAATTTGCTCAATATTATGCAAACAAGAATCGTGAAAGTATTTGTCCAAGAAGCAACATTTGTTTGACCCTTGAAAATGTGATATTGAAAGTTTTAATAATGATACCAGAAAAATATTATTTACAATTCGATTGTTGTGCAAGAATTAGCTTTCTTTTCCATTTCGTTATCTCTCTTTCTTAAGATATTTAGCGACATTTATTTGAACAATATGTAATACTATTGAAGATGCTACTTCAATTACAAATAGTAGCTAAGATTTCGATGCTATAACTGATAATGAGATCCATTTACAGACTTTAATCTTGTAGTTTTGCTCTTTGAGCCCACATGCTATTGCTATATTAGAAAAAATATCCTATTCTGTATATAGATGTGCAAAAACACACATGAAATCTAACTACTATTCTATCATTATCAGTCCAAAGTCATCTTCTTAAATTACCTAGTTATATAAGATGAAATACTTGATACTCAATTAAACTTTTTATTAAGAAAAGGTTTTCGATTTCACACCTTGAAATATCGATCAAGGTATAATTATTATTCTAAGAACAATTCAAAGATAACAACAGATGAAAAGAATTTCCTCTAGTTAAAAATTAAAATATATCTTAACTGAGTAAAATAGAATGTCTGCATACCTTCTTTCTCTTCAACAATCGCTCCCAAAAAAAATAAAAAATAAATCATCTCTATTTGGCATTATTAGTATCAAATTTCTTTTATTTTCAATCATTCTAACAAAAAGAAAAACATCCATTTGTTTGGTGACTTAACGAACTTTTACATTCGACAATATCAAATATATATATTGATTTAATCCTCATCAAATAACAATATACTATAAAAATCTAATCAAATGGATATTTCTATCATTCTTATTTTTTCAACTTCAATAATCATTACAACTATGATTCTTCTTCGGAGTCTAACGTTTCTAATAATAATTAGTACTGTAACAAGTATTGATGTACTATTACCTATATCAACATCAACACCTGATCCAACATTTTATCCGAATATTGTTCATCCACGTCAACCACAAAGACTTAATTTATCTCAAAAACGAGCATTACATACAAATAAATTTTACACTAATCCACTTCTTGGTCCAGGTAGTAATCCATAATTACACATCCATTTGTACTCTTAATGAATCTTGAATCACCTTATGGTATATCAATATCATGTACTGAACAATTTGCATTGGGACCACGAATTGATAGTACAAGAGTAAAATATTTTATAAATATTATATTAAAAAATATTCAAGTTAGTGCAACAGAATTTTCATCACAAAAATTTGAAATTATTGATGTTGATGATCCTGGTTTTGCTTTAACATTAAAAATGTATCAACAAAATTCTCAATCTTCTATAATAATGCCTATTGTACGTGGTATGACATATGTTACATTTGAATTTAATTCAGCTACACCAAAAATTTCAACTGTTCATGCTATTCTTTCTGTTAATGGTCAAACATCAGGAAAAATAACTGGAAAACGTTTTGAAATAGTTTTAAATAATGATCAAACATGGCTTTTATATACACTTAATGGTGATATTACATTAGAATTTCGTGAAAATCAATTATTTGGTACACAAGCAATAACAAATGTTCTTCGTTTAACTAAGAAACAATCAGATTCTTATGCAAATTCTTTACTTGATTCTCATGTATCTGTTTATCCAACAGGATGTCAATAAAAAGCTGATGTAAATGGTTCAAAAGGTACATATACATTTATTTGGGAACGTAAAGGTGATCTTACAGAAAAACTTCTTCATTATACACTTGCACATCATCGACAAGTTATATCAACAAATAGTGCTACAGCAACATCAGTTCAATCTCGATCACCAAGTAAAGGTCCAATGATAGGATATATTGGTAATGTTTGGATAATGACAGAAAATTCATTATCAACAATGGGTTTTCTTGCACCACGTGCACCAGCACCTGAATATGAAGATTATATTGTAGCACAATTAAAAAAAGATATTACAAATGGTGTTAATTTAGGTGTATCAGATTATTATTTTACAGGAAAAGCATTTCATAAATATGCTTTATTATGTTTATTAGCTGATTATTATAAAGAAACATTATTATTAGAACAATGTATAAAAACATTAGAAAATGCATTTGATGTTCTTATTACTGGTAAAAATGCAAATGCATTAAGATATGATACAACATGGTCTGGTCTTGTTTCAGCTGCTGGTTTAGCGTTAATATTTATTTTTCTATTTTGATTAATTTTAATTAGAATTTTATTTTTTGTTATAGACCATCACAAGAATTAGCTGATTTTGGCAATTCATATTATAATGATCATCATTATCATTGGGGATATTTTATTCAAACAGGTGCATTAATTGCTTATCTTGATCCAAGTTATATACCTAAAATGAAAAATTGGGTTGAAGGATTAATACGTGATGCTAATAATCCTTCAACAAAAGATACGAATTTTCCACAATTTCGTTATTTTGATTGGTATTCAGGACATAGTTGGAGTCAAGTATGAATTAAAAAGAGAGAATATTATTCTTATTTTTTTTAATTTTTTTATAAAGGGTTTATTTGAATCAGCTGATGGAAAAGATCAAGAATCAACATCTGAAGAAATTAATTTTCATTATGGTTTAGCACTATGGGGTTTAGCTACTCAATCAACAACACTTGAAAGTCTTGGTCGATTAATGTTATCTATTGCTAAACGTACAATTCAAACATATTTTCTTATGGATAATGATAATAAAATAATGCCAAAAGAATTTATTGCTAATAAAGTTACAGGTATCTTTTTTGAAAATAAAGCTGATTATGCAACATGGTTTGGAGCTAATCCAGAATTTATTCATGGCATTCAGTAAGTAATAATATCAAAAATAGAAAAAAGAATTTTTTCTAAACAGCTCGGGTCTAAGATATTTTTCAAATAAAATAGAATGCTTCCATCAACACCAATTACTGAAGAAGTACGTCTTCCGAAATTTGTTGAAGAAGAATGGTCAACAATAATCAGTAAAGTTGTTGGAGGTGCAGCAGGAGGATGGAAAAGTATTTTATATACAAATTATGCTATTATTAATCGTGGTGAAGCATTTAATCAATTACTTACTGCACCACTTGATGATGGTCTTACACGTACTTGGGCTCTTGTAAATATCAATAATCTTCTTTTCTCTCTCTCTTTTTTTCTTTAAATATAACTTTGTTCTAGTATTGGGCTGCTACACGACCAAATACAAATAATGGTACAGGCACTTTACCTCCGACAACATTAGATCCATCATCAAGTACTTCATCAACTACACCAAGTACAACTGGTGGTGAATGTACTATGCCTCTTGATGGTTCATGTACATCATTGACTTCACCAGGTGATGCAGCAGCTGGTCTTGGTATGTACTATGATCCAAAATGTGTTCAAGGAGGTGTTGGTTGTGATCATATCAAAGCTAATTGTCGTCTATGTGCAAAAGATCCAGCAATGATTAACAATCCTTTTGTTAAATGTCCGGCATGTGTTTAACAAAATGGATTGTATGATATTTTGCTCATAAAAATAAAAATATGAACGTACAAAAATTTATATTTAAGAAAAAACATTCTAATTGTTAATATCAAGTATATATTTGACTATGCTTATAAAAATGTTTCATATAGTTAATATCTGACATCATATTCAAAAAAAGGAAAAAAAAAGAAACTAACATTTATTAAGACTATATATATGTAAAAGTCAAATTAAATAGAGCCATCTGTTTTATTCCAATCTATAGCAAAACAAAGAATTAGTTTTTAATTTAATATTTTATTATTTTACCTTCATATTGTTTTAAATCACTTTCGGATACACTTGGTCGAATAGCTTTAAGTGATTTAATAAAATCGTCAACTGAAATACCACGTACCTATTTAATATAGAAAACAAAATACTTGTTAATGCCGTTTTAGACTGAAATGAAGAACTCATATTTCTTATTTAGATTCATTATACTAATACAAAAAATAGTTCGAACAGATTTTTTTGTACATTTCATTTTTATAGTTCTTTGTTATTAGTCTAATTATTGATTGAATGGACAAATAAGTCTGTTGTACACATTCATTATATGGCTATTATTTTCTTCGAAAATGTACATGAATTCTAAAAAATGAAAACATTATTTACTTCTTCACTCAAGAGTAATTCAATATCATGTATATCTCGAATAGGTCCTAAAGCTGCATCATGACAAAGACTATGCATATCGGCATCACTAAAACCATCTGTAAGTTTACATATATGTTCCATATCATTATCAGTTAAAGTATGTTTTTGATCTTTAAGTAAATTTGAGATAATAGCATGAAAAATTATATGATAAATGGAGCAACGGAAAGTAATATCTTTTATTAAAATCAAAAACTTTTGATTTGGATAATTTTTCTTTTAGAAAAATATAATACAATATATTTTAAATCATATAATATAATTTTAAATTTTCGATCTGTATCGATCATCGTCAGAAAACGATGTTATTAATGTTGAAATAGTTTTATACATTCAAATTCTAATTCACTTCTTTGTTGTTCAATATATTGTTGTTCTTGAGATTTGCATTGTTGTATAGTTGGATATGAATGAATAAATGTCAACATGGATTGTTGATTTTTAATATATGTATAAGTATTGATATTAGTATTAGCACCAACAAGAAAAATTACTTAAATACTACGACCAATACTACGACTATTAATACTTTCGTTATGAGTAAATGTAACATTAACGATCGCCAAACTGCAAAATATTTATACAGATTAGGTTCAAAAGAGAAAACATGCTTCAAATACAAATCAAAGCTCAAATTTACTCTAGATTTGCTTACACCTGTTTTCACCTATTTTATATAAATCTATGTGACAATATAAAGCCAAAATACTTCATCATACTTAACTGATATTCGAATCTCGAAGTACGACAAAGTATTTGGGCTTCATTTCCACGCAGACTTGTATAAAATGAGTCCAAACTGATATGCTCGTAACATATATTGATACTAAATTTGGCATAGCTAACCAGTTGTAAAAAGATAGCTTTAATATATCCATAAAGTACTTGTTAGTCTACATCTTCTCATAGGTGGACATTAATACATTAGAATTCACTAATGAAAGTGATATTGTCTAATGATTTTGAAATCCCTTACGAAATTAATTTCATATTACCTGACCAGTAATCATTTCAATTAATTTAGGATCAATATATTTAGCACCACCAGCAGCGTAATCAGAATTTTTAGACCAACAGGCAAACTTTTATTGTGTCGAAAAAAAACGATGGGCAAAATGAGCAAAGTTTTCACTGATAGGCCAAAACGTTTTTGGTCCAACAAAGTACTGATGACGTAAAAAACACAAAAAAATGAAATGAGGTTCTTTTAATCAAATATGCATCAAACTCAGATCTTGAGCCTGAGTCAGGTGTGTTTTAGTCTATTTTTTAATACTTCTGTTTATAAAATTTATATGTTGAATTCAAACACCAAAATCCCTACGAAATAGGCCAATTCACATCTTGTTTTTTTCTTTTGTTTTCACATATACATCATTGGGTTTTTTCTTTGTCTTGTATGCGCCACTGCCTATATACCGGGCTTCCCAAAAGTCTCTTCCACTTATATTTTTCATATATCTTTGCTATTTAATTTGACTTTATCAACTAGTTTTCTCTTAAATGATAAGTAAATACGCCGAGTTTTTATTTCTACAGACGAACTTCAAAAGTATTGTTGAAAGCGAAGCCCTTTAACCGAGATAGAAAAATTTAGGCTGTTTTCTGTCTTCAGAAAAAGTCATGGATCATGTGTGTTTCAATTGCTTGAATTTTGATTTGACACCATCCATTTCGTTTTTATAAAGACATATCAAAATAGAATTCTATAACAAGACTGTTCAAGTATTGGACAATCTAACGATTCGAATCACTCAACAACTCGACGAAGTTAAAAAAGAAATGCTACGTAATGTTTTCCTGGACATAGAAAACAGGTTAAATTTTGTATTATGATTAAAGGTCTTACTGTTAGCTTTCAACAGTGCCTTTGAAGTTCCTCTGTACAAATAAACACTTGGTGTATTTGTCTATCATTAAAAAAAATAGTTGATAAAGTCAAATTAAATAGCAAAGATAAACGAAAAATTTAAGTGAAAGGGCCTTTTGGAACACTCAGCATATATCTACACATAAATATGTTCGTGTGTGTTCTCTTGCCCTGTGCTTTTATTACTCTCCTCTTTGATCTATTTTTCTCTACCTTTATGTGGTTAATGTTTTCCCAATAAAACCGAACTCCTATTCACTCAAATTTACACTTAACATACAAGAAGCGATTCTTTTCTTAATTCTTCGCAGAGAGAACAAGTAAAGAGTGCACGTGTGATTCAGACAGAAGAAAAAATACAGTTCTATCTAATTCAAAAATAAATAAACAATTCTGAGAAAGTAAAATTTCAGTGGACAAAAACTTGCAAATAAAAATTACAATGGGCAAATCTCCAAATGAAATGGGCAATTGCCCATTTGCCCCTTTCTTGTTTACGCTCCTGCTCTATACCCTACCCTATAGATTTTGTGCCCTACAACCTACCATATCCTAAGATTTCGAAGTTTCGGCAAATAGTAACAGAAAATTGTTTTTAGAATGATTAAATCAGTCCAGTTTTATGGTTGTTATTTATTTCTAATGAAATAGATATCAATATCATATAATCAAATAAAATATATAGCAACTATTATATGAAAAAATTGTATAATAAAATACATAATAATACTAATGATAATATAGCTTTCGGTTCCCAACAATCATCATCAGTTTAGTTTGATATAGATGTCTATGAATGCTGTCAATGATTATTATTATTATTTATTCTATTATATAATTATCACTATATGTATTTTGTTTGATCATAGGATATTGATATACATTATAATTTCATTAGAAACATATAATATGCATAAAACAGCATTTATTTCATCATTCTATTTCAAGCAAGGCCTATTGGTATAAGAAAATAAAAGAAATTTTTTTTTCACTATGTTTCAATATATTTTGTAAATTTTTCAAAGATAATCAAATACAAAATTATCACATATTTCGAAAGTTTCATAAAAATAAAATATCATTCACAATATCGCCGCTTAAATATTGTTTGGTTTTTTCAAAAACTCTTCTACTTGCACTGAAAATACGTTCACTTGTGGCTGAACTAGCCGGAACTTCCAAAAGCCATTTTTCCAGTCTACTAAGTGGTGGGTAATTCAATGACCATTTGTTCCACTATTCCAATCCTGATTCTTCTTCAAAAAAACTAATTTTGCCTTAGCACAACGAGCTACTTCGTCGTAATCATCTTCTTCATTTGATCCTGGTTTGTCTTCATTTGCAAACTCAATTAAAATATCGTATTGTGAAATTTCTTGTTGCTTCTGTTTTTTTCCTTTTATTCATGGTATTTTGCTCATGACCATTACTGATGAATGTTGTGATTTAATTATTCCAACAGTTTTCAACATTTCTCACGTTGCATTGTGCACATCATTTCATTCACTTTGACTGAATGGCTACAACAAAAAAGAAAGCTTACAGTTCCCAAATATTCAAACGGCGGCAATACCAAATCCCTAATTTTAAATTAGATATTAGAAACTTAATATATGATATGCGAAAATTCCTTTCTATTGGAAACTCATATGATGTCCAGCTGTTAGAATACTAGAGTGTCTGGTTTTCAGGTAGAAGATAATCAATATCTGAATTCTAGTTTTGGAGTTTGGTATGAACGTCATGCAAAAAAAAGGAATTTGAGAACGGTTTCGCTTAATATTGTTTTCCTGTCAAATCTGAAAACAACTTCAATTAGTCACTTTCTAAAGATACATAATATGAATGAGAAATCTGTTGTATCCGTTTGCAACATATCAGAATATTTTTCGTTATCGGATGAAGAAACGTTCCAATTTCGTGCAACTGAGTCAACCAAATGTTCTCTTTAATATGCTCCAATATTAATGTCTTGACTTACTTCATTGCAGGTAAATCATTCGTTTTAATTTCACAATAATTTTTTGGCTTGCATATCCATGGCAAAACTAAATGTAATGTCGGCTCTTGATCAGCCGACAACTGTTCAATTGCTATCTTAAAATACGATAATAATTCAGATAAAGTTTTGAGTAAACTTTCGTCGATTGTACCCATATAAAATGTATGTTCTTTTCAACTAAACAATATATCATCCACCTGTTTTAAATTTAAATCGATTGAATGTAACATGTCATAAACAGAATTCCATCGAGTTGCTCATTGCTGTTAACGTGACACTGGTAGTAAAAAATTCAATTCACAACGTTTGAAAAGTATCAACAATTCACTACATGCTTTTATAATTGAATCGATCTTTGGACATAATTCACCAAGAGAATATTGTAATATTAGGTTTAGCTCATGACCTAAACAATGAAAAATATTAAAATCCAATTTATCACATTAATTTACATATACATCTCAAATGCACTTCTCTTTTCAAACCACAAATAAAATTTGAACCATTTTATGTTAGATAAATGCCATAGGAACATAGAATACTTTTTATCATTCTAACAATACTTTCTCCAGTTTTTGAACAGATGAATAAAGTGTATTTCACATAAATGTGACCGACTTTTTATCTTTCGTATAATGTAGATTCACTGTCAAGTGATACTCAGACTTGTAAGAATTTTTCCAATAATGAGCCCACACATCAATGAGTTTTACATTGTTCAAGTCTTTTTTCAAAATTTTAGTTAAGTTCAGACGATATTCAGCTACCAAGTGCTGAATTCTTCTTGAGATATTTGTAGGATCTAGTAAGAGATGTGCAGCAATTTTTAATTCACCATATTTATAGCGTACGTCAATTAATACTTGACATAGCTGCTGGACACCATCGCCCTTCACACTGTTAAATGATTGCATATGAAATGCGCAGTATTTGGAGCAAGCTTCCGTAATCATTTGTTTGTCTTCATGCGATACAATTGCATCTTTTTCATATTTTTCTTAATTGACATTGTCGTTTTTGAAGCTGTTGTTTTCTCGACACCATTTTGAACATGTTGACTAAGAGAATGTGTACCATTTTTCGGTTCATAGGATAAGATTTGCTAGCATATACTACATTGAACGAATGGTTCAAGCATACTTGCATCATTTGACTTTCATATTCTCAAGAGACTGGATCAGAATTCACCACTCGATGAAGATGAGACCTTTTATATCGCAATTAATTTGCCTTATTTTAATAAATTTAATATTTGTTTCTTTTTTTCGCCAATGGTCTGTCAAGATGACTTAGTAGGTATTTTTGTATTACGCCTATTGACTTTTACCCGACAGAATAATAAAATGTTATCCAATTCATTTGCTTGTATTAGATAAAACATGAAAACAATGCACTATTGTTCTTTCTTGTTCTATTCAATCCGTTTACATTGTGATACTCTTTTGGGTATTCATATAGTTGAATAATGGCGCAATTGATTGACAATGCAATCTATTTCATGAATTTTAATGCACTATTTCTCATATAATAGATTGTAGTGCATTATTTTCAAGCATAATGCATTAAAATCCATGAAATAGGTGGCATTCCCGAAATCGAATCGAATTCAAATGAAGGTTTTCTTATTCTTTTCGATCTCAATTGCATTATCATGTCATTATATTCGTTGTTTTCATAGCAGGTACATGCATTGTCTTCTATACAAGATACGTATTAAAAGTGTTTTCGGAGTTACTTGCCAAAAAATCTCAGGAATATGAGCAATACCCTAGTCTACCCTAAACATTTTTAAACCAATCTTATCCTACTCTACCGTATGGGGTATGGTAAGGTTACTCTGCAGGAGTCTAATTGTCAATCAAGTACAGTTTCATTTAATGTTGATGTTTCACAAAATAATAATAATAATAATAAGATTTCTTCATCAACATCACGAGGAATAAATAATAATCTTTAATTAAATTTATTTTAAAAAATAAAAAACAAATGTTGTTGTTTTTACTGAGAATTTCTTGTTTGGTGATGATAATGATGATGATCACATCATCTTCAGAATTCTTTAATGGAATATAATTTCCTTTACAAACACATTTTAGTAATAATTCAGCATATTGTTATATTAATGTGTAAAGAGATAAATTAATTTTTTTTATTTTTATTAAAATAAAAACCAAACTTGTCTCATTGTTTCCAAACAGTTAATATCAACATTTTCAATAAATGAACGATAAATTTCAATTGCTTTTACTAAATTACAAAAAAAGAAAAAGAAATACTATTTTTAGTTCTTTTTAAAGATTTTTTTTATTAATTTATTCGAAGCATGCAAAAGTGGTAAACATTGATAAACTAATTCAATTAAAGAATTTTCAACATCTAAATTATCATTACTTAAATGTTTATCTTTTTCAACAGCAGTGTTATATGTTTGACTCAATTTACAAGAATCATCAAATGATTTAATTATTTCAAATAAATTTTCATTTTTTTAAATAAAAGTCCTTTAAGTGCATAAATTTCTGCAAGTAATAAAGATAAACGATTTGCTTGCTCGTTAATATCATTTGGAATTAAATTAATTGCTAAATTAACATTTATTAGACATTGATCACAGCATCCTTTCCAAGCAGACAACAATTTGAAAAAAACACCCTTAAATGCTCAAAATGGAACCACGATTGTAAATCATTAATGCAGATTAGAAAAACGCGAGGAATGTGTTTATTTGCACACAATTTTCACTTTCAGGGCGTGAAAACGGTGAAAAACTACAGCTTTGAGCGTTAAAACACATTGTTTTATTCTAGTAAAATCGCGGTTCCATTTTGAGCACTTAAACGCGTTTTTCCAAATTTCTGACTACTTGGATTGCGCGTGATATAATTTAGCTAAAAGACATTCGAATTCAAATAAACGAGATGATGAAGCCGATTTGAATAGATTTTCGACACGAATTAATTCTTCTCGAGACTTTTCTATGTGATGATTATCAGTTAATGGATATTTTTCCATCATGAACATCTCCGTAAAATGACTAATTCTGAGCAGTATACCAATCATGCTTCCATTACAGAGATTTTACTGTATTTGAATAGATACCAGATTTCTCGTCCGTGAGAAACAGGTTCATACATCGACAATAGAATATTCCTCACATCTCTTTTACCTTTGACATTCTTTGTCGATCTATCGGCTACATTATGAAATAGTGAACAGTCGCATATATACAAATGATTAAATAAATAATGCCACGGGTTTCTGAAGAGAAAACATATAGAAATGACGCATTTTTCTTTTGTTCTATACACGTCCACTTATATCATGATAAGTTCAATGTTTATCCTCTAGTTTTTATTCATATTGTTATGCGTACTTTTATTGATAGAAATTGGCATAGTGATCAATACTATTGGGTCAAAAAAAGTGAGCTTCACACGTAAATTCCAAATTTGGAGCTCACTTACGCATCCATATTTTACCGATTGACATCAGTCCATGTTTTATAGTTGATAGTAAACAGGACACTTATATCATCACCTCCAGTCATAGACTATCAGCATTATGTAACTGTAAATTAGTTAATTAAATAGTACTCACCTCAATTAGTATTCGTCTAATTAAGACTAAATAAAGTGAGTACTCATCTAATTAGCACTAATAATACTGAGTACTGACAAGTTCTCAAGTCCTATCTTATTGCGGTATCCATAGGTCCTCAAAGCCTATGCTATGGGAGTACTCATAAAAGCTGTACAGCTCACACTCACTGTGAGCGTGAGGTGTATAGCTTTTATGGGTACCCACATGAGATATGGCTTGAAGACTTATGGGTAGTTCCATTGCATAGGCCTTCATGACCCATTTAGGTACCGCCTCTCCCCACTCAGGTCTTGAGAACTTATCAGTACTCAGTTTAATTAGTCTTAATTCGATGAATACTAATTAATTAACTAATTTACAGTTACATAATGCTGATAGTCTATTACTGGAGTTGATGATAGCGCACTGTTTGCTATCAACTATAAAACATGGACTGATGTCAATCGGTAAAGTATGGATGCGTGAGTGAGCTCCAAATTTGGAGTTTACGTGTGGAGCTCACCTTTTTTGACCTAAAAATTGCTATTTATATTAACAGCGCTCATTAATAGATTCGTTAATTCTTTCATGAAAAGTTGTTTTTCACCAGAAAAAAAGTATTCTTTAGGTCTATTATCTTTCTTGTAAACTTTATATATGATGGAGTGTTAGTTTTCAATGCTATGTAAGTTCCTCGTGAATTATCTTGGCATCTATTCACAAAATAGCCCGAATTTTTATATAGTACTAATCGAATTCCTTATCCATTTTTGAAAATTTTTTTTAGTTGGAATTGAATTTTATCTGAAAGATTATTAGAACAAAACACAAAATAGAATTATTATATATATTATTATAGACAAAACATTCTACTAAACGAGTGTCATTACTTCGACATTATTGTTAAGATGTTGAGCGAATCCTATTTCATCTGTTATTTCCCATTTAATTATTTTATTTCTAAAAATCTTGAGGTGAAGGTTACTGTTTTTGTGGAACAAAGTCTTTGTAATGTTTAAATGGATATTCTTTCGCATGTTTTCTCTCCTGCAGTTGGTGATAACGAAATCTAATTTGAATATCATTATGAATTTTATTAAAATCTTCTTGATCTAATTTAAACTGACTCTGATTAATTGATTGAAAATTTTGTTTAATTCGTTCATGATTAGCAGATTTAACAATACAAACGAAATTTCGATCGATAATATAACGAAGAAGAACTGATGTTGGATCAACATTATATTTATCTGCAATTGATTTGATAGTTTTATCTTCTAAAATTTCTGGATCATTTTCATTCTTCCATTGTCGATATTTTGCACCTATTTTATTCTTTTAATAAAAAAAAGATCAATTTGATGAAAGGAGAGAGCTAACCTAATGGTGCATAAGCTTCAAGGAGAATTTGATGTTTTTTACAAAATATTTCTAATTGAATTTGTGGACAATATGGATGAATTTCAACTTGATTAACAACTGGTTTATATTTGCATATTTGAATAACTCGTTCTATTTGTTCTTCATTAAAATTGGATAATCCAATAGATTTAACTAATCCTTCATCAACTAACAATTCCATTGCTTTCCATGTTTCAAGAAAATCAATTTCATCATCCACGTTTGATTGACATTCTTCATTTTCCTGCGGATCCTAAACAAAAGCAAATCGTCAAAAAAGAAAAAAAACAATGAAAACAGACCTGATCAACAAAAGCAAATGGCCAATGAATAAGAAAAAGGTCAAGATATTGACATTGAAGATCATTTATTGTTATTAAGCATTGTTGACGAACACGTTCAGATTTATGAAATGAACACCAAAGTTTACTTGTTACAAATAAATCTGATCTTTTTATTTCTCCTTTTTTGAATTGATTAGATAAACCTTCTCCAATTCCTTTTTCATTTCCATAAAGCCACGCACAATCAATATGACGGTAACCAATTGAAAGTGCACTTTCAATAACATTCACTATTTCTTCATTTGTTATGTTATATGTACCTAATGCTAGTTGAGGAATTTCAACATTATTATTCATTAAAATCGATCCCGATGAACTCATTTTCAGTTTTTATCTGAAAAAACTTAATTCGTTTTTATTTTGTTAGATATATAAACAGATCACTAAATGAACAATTTCGAAAAACTATTTTAAACAAGTATCACGGGAATATTTTCATATTAAAGTTACAAAATAGCCTATTGAAAGAAGTTTTAACTTGTGCACGTATAAAACAGATAGTTATTTTTTCCAGACTACTCATCGTGACATAAACTGTGGTTACCTTCTCAACACATTAAAGAAATTATTTCATTTGCTTTTTAAAAGAAAATAAAACTGTAATATTTGATCAAATTTTCGTTTAAGTGTTGTTAAATCTTTTTCGAATAAATAACGACCAGGTGATAATGCATAAATATAATTTATACCAAATTGTTCAGCTAGATTTATTATTTGAGTTCCTTCATTTGATTCTTCATTTCTATGTAAATCTCTCTCGAACGGGATCGATGTTTTGCGTCATCTTTTGGACCATATACATACATATTTATATCAAATATTCAGGGATGTGGCGAAAGAAAAAAACGTGGGGTGGGGGCAATAGATAAAAATCAAGGTAGTATGATTTTTTTTCCGGTAGTCGATTTTTCTAACGAGTGCTCTAACAACATAACAAATTTTAATGGTTTTACTGTGAATCTGTACGTATAATCTTTTCCATATATGTCTAATACAAAATATACAAAAGATCATTCATTCGGATCCCAGTATAAAATATTCCTTATAAGACTTACGTTTTGTCGAGTTATGTCATTTGTCTTTACATTTACATTTCATATAATTATATCTTAAGATATTGTAATATTAAAATCTTATAAACAAAACTTNTTTTCATCGTGCAAATGGCCATTTTCATGGCACAAACGACCATTTATGGGGCACAAATGACCATTCTAGTCCCCGAAAACGGTTTATACTCATAAAGCATGATGTTGTTTCAGATGCATGTATAGAACGGCGAGTAGTTGAGGAGGGAGGCTAGTCCCCTCATTGAATCTGGGTGCTCAATGTGAAGCACATCCTTCTCTTCCTTCTGTCAGTCTAGGGCCCAGTGAATCGACTTTCGATGTCGATGAACGTTACTTGTATATTTATGATACAATTCGTGATCGTTCATCTAGTATCAGTTTACTATTTAATCAACATCAATTTATTAATCTTCAATCATGTATATTCATGTCGGTTAATCCATCAACTAAACTTGAAAATGTTATTAAACAAGTTGAAAGTTTGAATAGACTTATTTCATTTGCGCTCAAATAACCAAATGATAAACATATGAATGAAAACGACAAATGGGATTTTACTCGAACTAGATTGATGCACAAGTCATCTTATCTTCGTTCAGTTGTGCTTAAATATCCTTATGATTACGTAGATGTATCAAATTATATTTCAATTGTTTCGAATACTATATCACTTAATTTGTTAATGTTTGTCTCACACAATACACTGTCAGTTTAATTCAATTTTTTGCCAATTCTTCGTGTTTGTTATAGAATAAGATATCTACATACGATAATAAAACAAGAAGTTCTATTTCAAAAATAATAATGTAAAGTAAGTTGCAAGAAAAATATTAAACGAAAATTCTGTATAAGATAAGATTAAAAATCAAATTCTTTTTCTTTTAGTGTTTTAATTGAAACACTACCTATTAATGAGAATGATCTTCCTATATCACTACAAATGACATCCTTCGATTTAACAATTTTTGCTGTATGTGACAGTCGTGCAATTGCTTATATTTTACGTTGTATGCCTAATCTTATTCGTTTTAATTTTCTTTATGCAAGATGTTGATGATTTGGTCAACGGTTGTGCATGGCAACAAATGTTAGAAATGCATGTTCCATTTTTATGCAAATTTGATTTTCAAATGTTAATTATGAAAAGATATCCAAAATTAGATTTAGACATGGTCGAAAATTCATCTGAATATTTTATCCGAAAGTATTCTAATTGGCACATGATTATTGATCGATGGACATCTGATGTCAAAATTCCACGTAAGTAAAATTTGTTTAAATCATAAAAAAATAATATAAACTAACTAATGCTTACTCAGAGTTATTTTGAGACTATAATAAATAGTATCTATCGTTTCGATTGATTTTAATGAAGTGTATCTGTACATTAAGACTATCCCATGTGTTTCGCTTTTTCGGACGTGACAATCAACATCTTTTTGGCTTTTGGTATTTCATAAATAGACATACATTGAATGGCCCTCTATCAATCTGTAGCAAAAATATTCTTTTGACAAAGTTTCAACATCGATAGAAACGATTTTGGAGACCCGCTATCTCGGAAAACTCGGCGTCAAATAGAAATTCAAACTGGAAATGAATTTCAGTCGATCTAGTGTTTTTCTCTTATTACAGAGAATGTACAACAATAAAAAGTACTCTGAAGGAAAAAAAACCTTTTTTCAGGATGAGGTTGTAGTGGAGAGGCTATGGTATGATTGTCGAGTCAGTAGCATTACGCATTCAGTAGATATTTACTATCTAAGGACTTAAAACAGCCTCTTTGATAATCCAAAATTCTCCGCCAGTCTTTGTCTTAAACAAGAATTTTCTTTCTTGTTCGACAGAAGACACTTTGTTTGGGGACCTTGACAAAGTCCTTTTTTAATTGTTACTTATGCGAAAGAAATACCTCACAAGTTCAACTTCCACAAAAACGTCTATAAAACTGGGAGTCTCTTTATAGAAGTGCTTTCAAATATGATAAAAATACTATATAGTTCAATCCAAAAACTAGGCTCTGCAACTAACCACATCCTTTCAAACAAATAAATACTAATTAGCTAGAATGAAGTTAAAAACATGTTTTGAACGTTGGAACTGCAATATTTGAATTCGTTGGAGAAAATGATTGATATTTTTTATGGCTAAGGAGGAAAGAAGGATTCAAGACTTGTCAAAAATAGTGGATCTACCAACAAGAAGTTTGACTATGAAATTCTTCTCCCTCATACTTCATAGCCATCTATTTACCTTAAAATAGTTTTCTCTCACAAAAATCGACTTTGGTAGGACGAGGAAGAGGATATTCATAAAATATTAAAAGTTATGCACAGGTAACAAACGATTTTGATTATGAAGGCTCAATATTTAGCCAATGAGATCATATGCTTATTCCAAAACTAAGTCTTTGGAAACATACAGCTTTTTTTCTTTTAGAAGAATTTATCATGTTACGCACATTTGCTTATCACAAACACAAAACAAACACATATTCATTAATTTCATTGATTGATTGTGAATCATTTGAGTCACGATCAACAAAAACAACAACAAATGATCATTATCTTTATTATTAAGATACAGAATATTTAATATTAAACATAACAAAGATAACACCAAGAATTACTTGTTCTTTTCCTTTACGTTAACATATCAATTCTCTCATTATATATGCCAATAATAGTTCATCATCGTCGAACAATTCATTGAATATTGGTAAGAAGAATACATATTTCTTTTAATTATATAGTTCAGTTGATGAAAATGAATTTGTCATTTTCAATTTATTTAAGCTGAATATTTTCGATTTTTATCGTATATAGACAAATTTGATTTGATTATTCTTCACTTCATTTTTATTTATTGTCTTTTTTTAGTCAACTCTCGTCAAACAAATGAGAATGAGAATGATGATTCACAACAATGTGTTACTTATCTTTCACATTTTGTGTATTCACATAATGTAACTCAAATCGAATTTCGGTCAAATGTTGATATATCTCGATGGAAAGATATTCAATGTATTCTATAGTAAGTATACTTTATATTGGTGAAAGAAACATATGATTCCCCAGTTTCAATTTTTCAATTTAAGAGTTATTTTTACTACTTCTAATTTATTTTCTCCAATGAATAATTTCATTTTATATCAGCTAGATAATCTTATATTCTACAGAATAATAATTACCAGGGCTCGGAATGGGCCACTTTTTGGTGGTCCGGCCCAGGCCAGAAGGATGTTTCATTTACCACGATTTTTCTCCTAATAGAATCTGGAGATCACTTCGGTAATCACTAATGCTCTCGGGAGGAAATAACCGGTATTATAATGAATTAGATTCGGCCTGATTTGTTTTCGACACATTTTTTTTCGTCGATCACATTATCACATTAATTAACGCAGTTGATATACTACAGAACACTACGTGTGCACGCGAGATACGATCAGTTTAAGCAATTACTATGGTTTATTATATTACTCGGATTGAAGTCCATATAGTTTTTCTACCATGAAACTTTTTTAGTAATTTTTATCACTTATGACGGCATAAAGTTTGATAAAAAGTAAAAAAAAAAAAAAAGAATAAACGTCGAGCCGTGGGACCATTTCGAGGCCTGATAATTACTGACATTAAATATAAATATAATGACTATATTTTTTTTATTTTAGGGCTTGTCCAAAAATGATTAATCTTATAATTGGTACTCTATATTTGGCTTTATCAGAATTCATCGATAATCAATCTCTTATTTCAATCTTCAAACAAATTAAAATGCTCAAATCAATAACAAAAAATGATTATTTTTCCTCAAATTTTGCATCAAAACTTGCTCGACGTTTTCCATCACTTACTGATATTGACCTTCAAATGTTTTCATTCGATGATTGTGTCTCTGCTATTAATATATTACTTAGTCATCTAAAAACCTGGTCTTATCTTAAAATTTATTATAGTCAAGTTTCATTACTCGATCATTCCTTTTCACATAATTATATTATTGATAAATGTTGTGAAGCATTTGGTTTTAATATTATCGATGAACATAAGGTTACAGTTAGAAGGAATGGAAAATCTGTAGAAATTAGATTATCATGATTTTATATGTATATAGATTTTTTTTTTGTGTAAATAAAGTTGAAATGAATATGTGTTTTTTAAGTTATTTTTATTTGAAGTNCTCAAGAAAACAGTGCCATGTTCCATACATACCAAAAGAATCGACTTTTCTTGAAAACTTAATATTTCGAGAACAGTGCATTCGTTTTGGCTTAAACTTTCAGGCTAATATACGGGCCACAAGACCTATATGTGGGCAAAATTTCAGGTCGAAACTCCTTAATTTGATTTTTCGGTAAATATCGTATCATAGGTGATAAACCCAGTAAAATGATCATAACTCGAGAAGAAAGGCCCATGGGCCCTTGTCCTTTTGGGCTTTTTCTAATCTCTTGGACTCTACTTATGGGCAAAATATCGGCTTAAAAGCTTTGAATCACTTCGAACGGTTCCCTCGTAAGTAATATATCAATAGTAGATACACAATCATCGAATGAAAACACTTGAAGTTCAATATCAGTAAGTGATGGAAAACGTTGAACAAGTTTTGATACAAAATTTGAAGGAACATAACGATTTCCTAGTATTGATTTGAGTATTTTAATTTGTTGGAAAATTGAAATAAGAAATTGATTATCGATGAATTCTGATAAAACCAAATATAAAGGACTAATTGTAAGATTAATCATATTTGGACATGCTCTAAAACAGAAAAATAAAATATACTCAATATATTTATATTTATTGATAGTGATTATTATTCTGTAGAATTCAATATCATCTATCTGACATAAAATGAAATTATTCATTGAGAAAAAAAAATATTAGAATTATCGAAAATAACTCATAGATTTAGAAATGATAAAAATCACTTAATTTGATTATCTATAAAAGATTGTTAGAAAAATGAAAAATCAAATCTTTTTTTTCTATCAACATCAAGTATACTTACTGTAGAATAAATTGAATATTTTTCCATCCAGATGTATCATCATATGATTGAAAGCCAATTTGATTTACATTGAGTAAATGAACAACATGTGAAAGATAGGTAACACATTGCTGTGAATCATCATTGTCATTTGATTGAACAGAGTTCACTAAAAAAAGATAATGAATAAAAATGACGGGAAGAATAATTAAAAGAAATATGTATTCTTCTTACCAATATTCAAAGAATTGTTCGACGATGATGAAGGTATTATTGGCATATATAGGACGAGACAATGGATATGTTGAAATAAAGGAAAAGAACAAGGAATTCTTGGTGTTATCTTTTCCATGTTCAATTCTAAATATTTTGTGTCTGAATAATAAAGATAATGATCATTTGTTGTTGTTTTTGTTGATCGTGTCTCAAACGATTCATAATTCATCAATGGAATACTTGTACTTAGATTTCTTTTGTATTTGTGATAAGAAAATGTGCGTAACATAGCAATATCTACTACAAGAAAAAAACTGTATGGTAAAAAAATTTGGTTTCACAATAAACAGATTCTCATAGGCTAAAGTTTGAGTCTCTTCATTGTCAAATAATTGATTGTCTGTGCATGGCTTTTGATATTTTATGAATATTCCTTTCCTCATCCTACCAAAGTCGATATTTGTGATAGAAAAGTATTTTAAGGTAGATAGATGACTGTGAAGCCTGAAACACGGAAATTTCATAGTCAACCTGACAGTTGGTTGATCCATTATTTCTTTGATAGATTTTGAATATTTTTTTCTCCTTTATCATAAAGAAAAGCAATCCTTTTGAGCTCCGAATCGTAACATAGCCTCAACCTGATGAAGTTGTTTTCATCTTCTGAATACTTTTTTATTTTTGTACATTGCCTGTAATAAGAGAAAAACAGCATATAGACTGAAATTCATCTGCTGATTACATTTCTATTTGACGTCGAGTTTTCCGAGATAGTGGGTCTCGAAAACCGTTTATTTAGATTCAAATTTTGTCAAAAGAAATATTTTCTTGCAGATCGATAGAGAACTATTCAAAGTTATCTATTTATGGAATAATAAAATTCAAAAAGATTTTGACTGTCATGCAGAGTTGCCAGATCTTCTGGATTTTCCAGAAAAATTCTGGATTTTTCAACTTTTTCTGGATTTCTTCTGGATTCTGGATTTTTCTGGATTTTAGGATTTTNATAGTGAAATTTATAATTTATCATTTCTTATATGTTTATTTTATTATATTTGAAATTTTGATGTCGTTTTTTTTTGTTACATTGAAACATGCACTTTTTGAAGTAATAAATGATTTAATTGAGAACGAGATTTCGAGAAACTTATTTTAGCGGATAAAAATCAACAACTAAAAATCATTCCGGATTTCACAAAAAAGCTTCTGGAATTTTCCGGATTTTGACATTGGAATTCCGGATTTCTGACTATGACATCTGGCAACACTGCTGTCATGCCCGAAACAGCGAAGCATCGGAGTTAGTTCTAACGTATAGAAACACCTGCATAAATGTCATTATAATAAAATATAATCAATGGCAACGATAGACACTATTTCTCATTTCCTCCAAATAACTCTGAGTAAACGTTGGTTAGTGTTTTTATTCTTTCTTTCCGATTTAAAGCAATTTAACTTACGTGACATATCGGAAGTAGGTACCCATCGATCAATAATCATCTGCCATTTGGGATACTTTTTAACAAAATTTTGAAATGAATTTACGACCATGTCTATATCTAATTTTGAATAACTTTTCACAATTGAGATATGAAAATCAAATTTAGATAAAAATGGAACATGCATTTCTAATATCTGTTGCCATACATAACCATTGGCTAAATCATCAATAACTGGCAAGGCTACTGTTCGTGTCTCATGAAGGAATTTAAATCGAATAAGATTAGGCATACAACGTAAGATATAAGTGATTGAACGAATGTCACATATAACAAATGTTGATAAATCGAAGGTTGTCACTTGTGTTGATATAGGAAGATCATTTTCATTAATAAATGGGTCGTAAATTGAAACACTAAAAGAAAAAATTATATTTTCAATCTTATTTTATACAGAATATTCGTCGAATATTTTCACTGTAACTTACTTTAAATTATTATTTTCAGATACAATTTGATCGTTTATTATGACACGTAGATACCGTATTCTATGACAAACACGAAGAATTGGCAAAATTGAATATACTGAAACTGTATTCAGTGAGCCAGATATTAGCAAATCAAGTGATATAAGATTCGAAGCAATTGAAGTATAAGTTGATATGTCTAAGTAATCATAATTATAATGAAGCATAACTGAACGAAGAGAAGATGATTTGTGCATCAATATAGTTCGAGTTATATCACATACGTATTTTTCATTGATATCTAGATAAATTGGTTGGATGATAACAAATGTAACAAGTCTATTCAAACTTTTAACTTGTTTAATAACATTATCAAGTAGAGTTGATGAATTAATCGACATAAATATACACGATTGAAGATTAATAAAATGGTGTCGTTTAAATAGTAAACTAATAATAGGTGAACGATCACGAATTGTATCATCAATTTTTAGTGAGATGACTTGATGAGCATGAAAAGTAAGATGAGAAGAAAGAAATTGTAGTTCTCGATCATAATGACTGTTTAAGATGATAACATGAAGTGAAATTGATTTTAGAATAGACAAAACTCGTTTATTCAATGAAGCAAAAGCAGTAAAAATATCAAGTGCATGTAAATAATCAAATATTTCGAAGAAAATTTCATTTGTTAAATCTTCTAAATGGGTATGTGTATCCATTTGTATAGATGACAAAAATAAAAGATAGTAATAGTCACGTTGTTCAGTTTATTCTGTGCAAAGAATATATCAAAGGATAGAGAAATCGATAGATAATATGTTACATAATCTACAATAAGCAGTCTATGAACAATATTGACGGGAAGATAAATTGAAAAATGAAGTTGACCGTTGATTTATCTTTTTATGGGAAACAAAGAATTCTTCTATACGACACACACACACACTCTATTTGTTGATCGCTTTGATCATACACATACACTAATTGGTTTGATCTCAGGAGACAAAACACTGAGTGTGCGTGAGAGTGTATATGTATCCTGTAGAACTACCCATCAGTTGCACATATGAATTATTTAAAGATGATAAATAGGTACAGTTTAACATTGACGGTTTGACCGTTGGAATGATAATATTTGAAAAGAGTTAAATAAAATGTTTTCTAAATTTATTCCATTTGTGATTTTATAATGGATATTAACTTGTGTAGTTAAGCTAATACAAGAAAAAGTAGTGTCAAACATATAGCTTCGGTATATAACGAATAATGCAGAGTTTTTTAATAATAATGTATCTACTCTTTTAATGGTGATTTTTCTCGAATATTTTTATCCTGTACGTGTAAAAAATCGACTTACAGATTTGTTTGTTTCAAGATGAGCAACAAACATTTGTTTGCCGGACAGACGCTAGAGTCAATACTTCAACAATCGATGTGAATATATTTTACTAGAAACTTAACATCTATGTTGAGCTTAATGATAGCAAAAATAGTCGAACATTAGAAAGCAACGAACGTGAGAAAATATTTGTTACAGATAGATAACAAACATCTGATTCATTTTCAGTGATCGGCGGCTTTGAATATTCGCTTTTGAATAAATATCGTAGTTGATAAGTGTCAATTTTTTTCTGCTTCATAAGTTGTTTCTTGCTATTTTCTCTGAATTATTTTATCCAAAACTTGCGCGAGAAAGAGTTTTTCCAAAGCAAATATTCCACCGAATAATTGTCGTAGATTCGTCAATGCATATTGTTAAAAATGGCATTCTTACTTGGACTTATTCAAGCGCCTGGAATTAATTATATTTAGATTTTCATGTATTCTACGGGAATCTTCAGCAGATTCTGCATCTCTGGTTGATGACGTTATGCAAATAGGGAAAAAGGCATTTTAATGTTCTTAATGATGTTCTCCGTGTCGACTTGGCACTCTTATTTGAAGAATGAATAAAAACAGAAAGACGAAAGCAATCTTGATTCG